TTCTTTCTCCTGTTCATTTTACAGATGAGGAAACTAAGGCAGACAGGGTGAAGTGACTTGCCCAGGGTCACACAGCTGATGAGTGTCTGAGTCTGGGTTTGAACTCAGATGATTCTTCCTGACTCCAGGCCTTGCACTCTGTGCACTATGGTGCCACCTAGTGGCCCCAGGCACTTAATAACTGTGATATTGGGCAAGTTACTTAATCTGCCATAGCAATGGTCTCCTCTATACAGTGGGAATAATGACATTTCCTTTACCAGCTGTGTGGCTTAAATGTGTGTAAAGTGCTTTGCAGACCTTAAAACTGCTTATCCATGTTGGCTAATTAGCTATGTGACCTTGAGCACGTTAATTAATTCCTTTCTTTGTTGACTTGGCTGATTAGAGATAACACTGTTTTGGGAAGCTGGAGCTGGGAGGAACATGAGAGATGATCTAGTCCAAGATTGAGGCAGTGGTGGGATTTATCCATGGCTGCAATTAACTACTTGATTTTCTTTCTTTCTTTCTCCTTTTTTGGCAGGGCAATTGGGGTTAAGTGACTTGCCCAGGGTCACACAGCTAGTAAGTGTCAAATGTCTGGTCTGAGACCGGATTTGAACTCAAGTCCTCCTGATTCCAGGGCCGGTGCTCTATCCATTATGCCGTCTAGCTGCCCCTCTACTGGATTTTCTTTCATGAACCTTAACATTGTGCTTCTTAGAGGAGTTAGTATTTTGAAGAAAAAACCTATTGACGAGACAGGAAGGAAGTTAGATTGCAGTGTGATGGCAACCTTGAAAATTAGATAACTTTATGAAAGATAACCTCCAGCCAGGCCCAACTCTCCTGAAGAATGCCTCAGGAAAAAGCAAAAAGTGTACGAGATTAAACAAAAATTGAGTAGAACCAAAGAGAAACCCCAGCGAACTCAGCCACTGTGTCCAGAGCAAGAGCCTGCAAATATTCTGGTCGGGGTGTACCTGGGAGATTTGAAGCTGGTACAACCTTCTGTGTGGCTGCACCAAGAGATAAGGCCAATGCTGTGGACCTGAATGGGTGACTGAGAAGTCAAGAGAAGGCTGGGCCCATGGAGCCCTTCAAATAGGACCTGTACCAGGGAATAAGTAAGGCATGAGGTCATAAGCATCTCCTGGTAGGCAAATACACAGAGCCTGAGATTAGGTAGAAGGTGCAACCCTAGTTTGGGGCAGCTAGGTGGTGCAGTAGGTAGAGTGCTGGGCCTGGAGTCAGGAAGACTCATTTTCCTGCGTTCAAATCTGGCCTCAGACACTTACTAGCTGTGTGACCCTGGGCAAGTCACTTCACCATTTGCCCCAGTTTCTGCATCTATAAAATGAGCTGGAGAAGGAAATGGCAAACCTCTTCAGTATCTCTGCCAAGAAAACCCCAAATGGGGTCATGAAGGGTTGGACACAACTGAACAACAAAGCAGCCCTAATCTGAATTAAGGCCTAAGGCAGGGCTCTTAAGCTCCTCCATTAATGTCTGCGGAAGGGATAGAAGGATACCACCAGCCTCCCCATCTAGAACTGCAGCCCTGGAAGGCCCTTTTCCCCCTTGTATCGTGTAGTCTTCTCATGGGCCTGCAAGAGTGAAAGATGGGAAGGGCCTGGACCTCACCACCCCATCCAAAAGTGTGTTAAGAGCCCAAGAACTGAGGTGGGAGACATGAGTAAGGAGGAGATTCTACTATAATGAAGAAGAAATACTGTGAGTTAAGAGAATCCCAAGAGGAAAAACCCAGAAAAGGGAAAAGTAACTGCAGTTATTGCAAGTAGAACCCCAGAAGTGGTTGGAAGAACTGAAATATGAGAGAAAGAACCAGGTCAGCACTTGAGAAGGAGAATCGCCTTACCCGAGTAGTGAGTGGGCACAGTGAAGAAATCAGAACTAAGTGATACAAGGAAACAGGCCACCGTTGGGTTCTGTGGCAGAAAAGAATTGGGGATGCCAAGACAAGGCTAAGGAACTTACATTCTAACAGGAGATGACATGTATTTGTGACCCACGAGGCTTGAGCAGAAGGATCAGAGACATTGGGTGAAATTGGCAACTGATTGGCCATGGGGTGGAGGGTAACGATGCCCAGATTCTTCTTCACTTGGGGCACCCGGAAGGAGGAGTGTGCCCTGGACAGAAACAGGGAAATGAGGAGGGCTGGATTTGGGGGAAGGAGAAGCAAAAGGAGTTCTGTCTGGAGTGTGTGGAATTTGCAATGCTCATGGGACGTGTAGGAGGATAAATGACTCATCTGCAGCTGGAGTGAAGCTCCCGGAGAAAGAAGTCATTCATCAGTCCCTCACAGCACTCCTAATGAAGAGAGAACAAGCTGCTTCTAGCCCACTGCTGCACGCACGCAGAGCTTCCAATGTAAACATCAATGCCTCAGAAATCAGGGCTTGATTTTGTTTTGTCTGGTCCTGAGAAAAGGATGGAGAAAAGTGTGGTTGGTAAATATTTACTTGCACTTCCCTGGCTGCCAGGAGCCTCAGTGGTCATGGCATGTAGTCTAGCCCATAGATGAGAAGAATCCCCACTGAAACCTACTGGGCAAGTGTTGGGCTAGATCTCAGAGAGGGGCAGGGCGACTCATTGTTTGTCGTACCTGGTACCTATTGCTCCTCTTATCTGCTCTCTGAGGCCAAGCAGAACAAGGCTAAGTCTTCCTCTACAGGCTGGGCTTTCATTGTGATACTGGAAGATAGTTGTCGTGTGGCCCCAAGGTCTCCAGGTTAAACAGAACCATTTCCTTGGACTGATCCTCGTGTGATGTGAATGCAAGGCCTGCTTGCCATCCTTTGGAGACCCTTCAGCTTTATCAGTGTTTTTACTGAATTTGGTACCCAGAACAGAAACTGGTTCTCCAGCCCAGACAAGGCTAGAACACAGGGGGATTGTTACCGCCTTGTTCCTAGAAGCTGTTATTGCAGTCCAAGATCCCATTAGCTTTTGGCTGATTTGCTGAGCCATTAAATTGCCCAGGTCTTTTGGAACAGTTCATGCCTTTTCCATTTTATAATTGTGAATTTGCTTTTTTCATGCCTGTTGAATTTCATTTTAGTGGTTGGAGCCCCATGCTAGCCTGTCTAGATCCTTTTGGATTACATCCCACTTTGTCATCTGCCAATTTGATAAACAGCTCACAGATTCAGGGGGTGATCCACTGGAAGCCTTAAGTCCGACCCCCAACCAGGTCGGAATTCATTTGATGGTCTTATTACTCAGTGTCTGAGTCTCGGTCTTCTCCACAAGAAAGTCTGTCAGCAGGTCAGCTACAGCCATAGCCTTCCCCTCATCTTGTAGTGCAGAGATCCAGCCCAGCAAGGGATTCAGGTGGATGTGGCTGGCCACTTGCCTTTCTAGATGTTTGTTAGACATCTCTTTAATATCTGTTCTGGAAGAGGTTTGGCGATACCACATACAGACAGTGGAGAGGAATTCCCTTCAAATTAGTTGACGCATAAGGGCCCTCATCTTATTGAATATGATGCCATGATTAGTGGGTATACATTGCACTGTCTGCTTGTAGCCAGACCTGTTACCAAGGAGGAGAGGAGCAGAAGGCTTTTTTCTGGGACCATATGTATACACCTTTCTTGTAGCCAAGGCAGTTGCTCTTTCAGAACTTGATGGCCCAACTTTAAGAGTTGTCACTGTGGCAAATCCCTATGCTATTCCAGACCATTGATGTGACTGGAAAGCTGTGAGGGAGGCTAGGTGTTTGTGTAAATCCCATTCTGAGCTATGAAACACCTGGCATTGTAAACCATAAACCGCCTCTGTCTGGGAGAAGTAGGTAGAGCCAATTTTCCAAATCAGAGCTGAGCCTACATGGCTTACGTTTCCACGATCACCATTCTGTGGGCACGGTCTGGTTGGTTGCGTCTTCATGGCTGGGCAGCTGTGACACAGGGAGGCAGCTGCTTGATTTCTTCTGTACCCGAAATGGGACTTTGTCTTCTCCAAAGCTTTGCGTTCCCTCCTCCTCACTGGACTGCTGAGGCACAAGTATGGGAATCGTCTGGGAACCAGAGGCTGGGGAAGCTGGGCCTGCGGGACCTCGTGGTAGCCATGTTGGCTTTTCATAAGTGGGGACACATTCCTTACAACCATGTGAGATAGTGTGCATTCTCCCCATTCTGCTGCTGAGAAAACAGACCCCAGAGAGGTGAAGTGAGTGGGTGCAGGGTCCCATCATAATCAGTCCAGCCCTTAACCTCTCCTGGTTTGCGCTCTTCTGGTGGGCACCTCTGTGGGGGGATGGTGCATCCCCTTGGCAAGTGCCATTTCAATTTGTTCGCATGGTGCCTGGTAGTAAGATGTTTAAAAACAGAACGAGCAAGGTGAGCAGGAGGATCCCCTCTCAGTTCCCCAAGCTCTTTTTTGCTTCACCTTCACCTTAAGTGAGTGGATGAAAAGGCACTGAGGAGTTGCTCCTGTGTAGCAGGCCCAGCCAAGGCATGCAGGTGCAACGTGACAATTCTGCACTCAGAGAGCTCCCATACTAATGGGCAGAACCCAGGGGCAGGTATGTCTGGATTTGCTGTTGTTTGCTGTAGCTTTGGCAGGATTGATTGGATTATGGTTGGGGGAAGATGGTGGGGTCTCAGCCAGTGAGGCAGGCTTGGCTTTCCACCCTGTACCAGCTGTCTCCTTTGGGAGACAGGCTCATAGATTTAGAGCTGATGGGCCCGTAGAGGTCCTCCTCTGGTACCAGGAGGTGCTCCCTCCCTGCCTGGAATTCTTCGGTGTCAGCACCCTCAGCATCTTCACCGTGTTGGAAGGGAAGTGCTTTGGATGCTCATCCACGCAGCACCCTTGGGGAGAGCCCAGGTTCTTGGGGGAGGAGTTGATTCGCTGGTGAATGGCGGGAAGATCTCATGGGGGCTGCCTCCCCACCCTCTTTCTTCCTGTAAATGAGAAGTGGTCAGAGGGTATGGGAGAGTTAGTCAACCACTGCCCACTCTGATCATACCTGTCTTGACTCTCTCCAGGACGGAAGAAGAGGCCCCTGCTCCATCCACATCTGCAGACAGGACTGATAGGTAAGCAGCTGCTGTCTGTCTGTCTGTCTGTCTGTCAGGAGTGGAAACATGGGAATTGCATCCCTAGCTTGTTTCTGTTTGGTGGGTAAGGCCTGTGTACATCACGGTGGAAGCAAAGAAGATCTGGGGGCCTCTTGACTGAGCCTCTTTTAATGAGGAGCCTTGGGAGATCCGCCTTTGTTTTGGTTTTTGTTTTTTTTTTTTTTTGAGTTGAGCAGCTGCGTTTCAGAAGCTGACTTGGGGTTGAATCTAGGGTTTCTGTTAGCATTGGTACAAGACTCATGGGTGTGGCTAGTTGAGTTTTGGGCTTTCTTGCTGGGCCTTTTGGCCTGAAACTTGGGGGTGAGTTGGAGGGGGGCCTCCAAGGGGAGAGGCCAGCAGTGGTGGAGTCAGTGGTTTGTCTCACTGAGGAGAGGAGCAGGGAAGCCACCCCTCGTCTGAGCTGCTGTCAGCCTGACTTAAGAGTTGAGGGTGCCCCTTCTGTCACACTTCTGTTGAGTTTTCTTAACAATCTTGAGGGAGAGTGATGGTGTTGGATGAACCTGACCCCAGGAACCTGGAAGGATTTAATCCCCTTCACTTGTTCAGCAAAAAAACATATATATACTGTATGCACTAACCATTAACACTGAGAAGAATTAAGTGTCCACTCTGGAGATGAGGGTGTAGCTGACTTCGCCACAACCAGTTGTAGTCCCTCCCAAAGCGCTTGGCTCCCCACTGCCACTGTGAGGTTTGGTGAGGCTCAAGCGTCCTCTGCTAGAGCGTCAGTGGTCATCCAGCTGTCAGGGTTCAAGTGGAGCACTGCCCAGTAGAGGTGTTTAATCTAGATGTGGTTGGGCAGCTGTTTTCTTGCTCAATTTCTAGGCCTGGAGTTCACCTAATGCAACTTGGTGACTTCAGTAAAGGAATTCTTCCTTTCACATATGAACTCATGTAGCTGGGGGCAGAAGAGGCCTGAAGCCTGGCCTGAGCTTCCTTCCTTCCTGGCTGCTGCTCCCTCTGTGGGGTGCATAATGTGATGATCCTCTGGCTGTCCAAGCCAGTCTGCTCCAGTGACAGCCTAAATTCTGAGGCTACGCTAGCTCTCTGCCCATTCTGCAGACTGTTGGTGCAAATGGGGCCCTGCCTGCTAAAGTGGAGGAGCTTGGTGACAGGCAGGCTGCTCTAGTGACCAGAGTTGGAGGGGTTTCACGAAGCTTTTTGCTTAAAAGGTGACAGATGTGACAAGCTAGTTGACGTGAATGGGGGGTGAGAATGGGGAGGATTGAGGACTTAGGCCTGTGGAGTTTGGGGTGGAAGGAGTGTTCCTTGGGGGACATAAGGCTTTTTTTTTCCCCTGGGGGTTGGGGTAGGGATTGGTTTTGTGGTTTTGTATGGAATTGGTGGCCCTTGGGGGCTTGGGCTGGGACCCTGCTGTTTTAGGGTGTGGGTGTTGGTTCTGACCCGTAGTATCTGGTTTTTGTTTCTCTTCTTGTATCTGTCACCCCCACCCCCACCCCCCCCAGCCTGGATGTGGATAGCGAATCTAAGAAGCTGCTGGGCTTGGGGCAGAAACATCTGGTAATGGGAGACATCCCAGCAGCTGTCAATGCATTCCAGGAAGCAGCTAGTCTCTTGTAAGTATTGATATTTGCTCTTGGTAGAGAAGGGACGTGTGTCATGAACAGGCAGGTTGAAGGTTAGTAGGGCAGAAGGTCTCTTGAGCTCTGCCTTTGTTGTGTGTCCCCACTCCCACCCCTTCAGACCTTTGGCTTGAGTTGCTTTCCCTGCCTCTAGGCTTTCTTCCCCATCCTGACCTGTGCCTGGCCATCAGACTAGAGTGCCTAGAACATTTGGACGTGGCCTCTCCTCTTGACAGGAGTGTACTGGAGTGTCCTAAGCTGTATCCCGCCCTTTAGCGCAGGGTATGAACAAGCGCCCCCAGGCCTGGCCCAAGCCAAGCCCCTCTTTCCCCTGGCATTCAGGGGCTTTCCTGATCTCCCTGTGCATAGGTTGTGGGGCCAGCTCTGTAGCACGAGCCCTTGCTCCTGTTCTGTGCAGCTGTCAGGGCCTCTATCTCCTGGTCAAGTTACATTTTTGTCCTTTCTCCCTCCTGATCTTCACTTCCTTTACCTTTCTGATATGACTCTGGGCTGCCCTGCATGTGGCACTCACCACCTGTCCTGGCATGTGTCTGTCCTTAGTGAAATGAGAAGTGCCAGCCGTTTGCTTAAAGATGTCCATTGAAGCCAATTTAGGGGTTCAGGGGACTCTCTGAAAAGTCACAGTCGTGTCATTCAGTGTCAGATATTTACCTTGGTGATCAACACACTCAGCACTGACTCAGCTTCACGGCCTGTTCTCTGGCCCAGACTCCAGTCCAGCAGGATGTAGGCAAAGCACAGCACAGCTTGAGGTGATGGTTTTGTAGGCGAGATAGCTTCTCTTATTTTTTTTGCTGTGTGTCCTTTCCTCTCTAGGGGTAAGAAGTATGGAGAGACAGCTAATGAGTGTGGAGAAGCCTTCTTTTACTATGGGAAGTCTCTTCTGGAGTTAGCAAGGTATGTCTTTTAAGATTCAGTGCCTGGGATGCATGGAGGGTACCGGTGCTTTGACCCTCCTCTCCCAAGGCGGCACGTGGGGTAGGAGGAGGACCCAGTTAGCAGGATGAACAGAGTTGTTGCCAAAGTATTTGAGTGGGTGCTTGATAAAGGCCAAACAGGAATGTAGATGCTTTGGTTCTGGATGGGAGGAGTACACAAGTTGTAGAAATGGCGAGATGGATGTGCTTTCATAGAAGGCTGAGAACCGGGCATATTTTCCCACTGGAATTGATGAGTCTGGAATGGAAGAGCACCTTTCTTTAGCCCTCTGTGCAAGTTTAATGGAAGTGGGCAGCCGTGAAGGTCAAGGAACATAAGATGCAGAGTGAGCTATGGTTCCTTCAGGGCTGGGGATGGGGCTGCCTCAGTCAGTAGTAGAGGGTCCCCTGGGAAAGACCTTCCTTGCCAAGGTGGGCTGGCATGTTGTTTGCCACCTGCCAGGGGTTGCCTACCACACCATGCCACGCTGCCTCCTTCACAGTTGCAAGGAGTTTAGATCTGTTAGGTTAGACTGAGCAACTTTGAAATCGAGTGGTTTTTCATATTTTGTCATCCATCAACTACTTAATTCTGGTAAATTGCCCAATTGTAATGTTGCTCGTGACAGTTGCTTGGATTTCTACCATGCTTCAGAATCTGCAAAGTACGTCCTGCAGTGCACATAGCATTTACAGAGAAGAAACGGTGTGGTTGGAAGGGCCCCAGGTCAGAAGTACACAGTGAAGTCAGAGTTGGGGGGCAGGGCGGGCAAGGGGCCATGGTTATTTTTTTGCAATCTTGTCAGTAAATGTAATGCCCTGCCTTGTGGGCAGGGCCTCAGAGTGCCCAGAGCCTGCCGTCCTACCTTGATAACATCCCCAGCAGCCATCCATTTGCGCCAGCACTTGCTTTTGCGCCCCCCTGCCCTGCCCCTCTTCCGCCCGCCCCGCAGTGCTCACTAATCCTTTTGCTCTCTGCACACTTTGCATTCTGCTCTGCTGTATTCTGAGCTCAGCACAGGGCATTGCTAGTACTGACCTCAGGAGGAGTGAGAAGGAACCCAGCTGTCGTATCTCGGTGCTTTCTCTCTTTGTTCTCCTCCTAGAATGGAGAATGGTGTGTTAGGAAATGCCCTGGATGGAGTACCAGTGGATGAAGATGGAGAGAGAGCAGAAGATCAGTCTATGGTAGAGAGTACTGATAACGTAGAGGGTATGTAGCGCTGCATGTCCCACCTCATAGAGCTGCCATGCTCGGTTTCCTGCCTTCCCTCAAGGGTCTGCGCTGCCTCGCATCTGGGGAATGCTCAAACCTTCATGGCTGGTGCCTGGGGCAGGCCAGATGATCTGAACCCCCCCCTTTGGAGGAAGTAACTGAAGTCCTCACCAGCCGGGGCTCCTGGCGGCTTCTCCTTTGGAGTGATGCTGCAATCCAGAAGCTTGCCCTGATCCCCGTATTTGAACCAGCCAGGTGCTCGCTCACTGTACCAGGATGAAGGGAAGTCTCTTCTGATGCGCTTCCTTGAAAGCCTGAGTGCCCTGGCAGGCGGGAGCAGGCAAGAGTGGGCTTTTGGCCAGAACAATAGTAATTAGTAACCCTGATGACCCACATTTCTGTAGCATTAAACGTTTACAAAACTCCATTTACTCTCTTGTTTGAGCCTGCAACGGCTTGGCATCCTGTATTTGGCTCCTGTGCTTTAAGTCTGGCCGGCTCTGTCTCAGCGGCTTAGCGCGAGGGGCTCGTTTGGGAAGGAGCTGCTTTGCTGGCTAGGACCGGCTTCTCTTTGTTTGGGCTTATGTCTCCAGGGGCAGAGTTCCATTGTAGTTCATCAGCCAGGCTGAGGGTTAAAGGGGGATTAATTTTCATTTCCATGTATGCCTTTTATCATTAAACTGGAAGAAATGTTTATGCTTCATGTTCCTTCACCATGTAGAGGAAGCAAGGGGCGTGTTGAAAGATCAGGCCTCTGATGCCATGAAGGACCAAGCGACGGCACAGAAAGCCCAGGCCGAGGCTGCCAGCATGCAGGCCGAGGCCATGGCGGCTGCTCCTCCTGCTGCAGGGGAAGCCCAGGAAAGTCTAGCCGAGGCCGAGACCTCAGGAGCCGATGTCGAGATGGAGGAGGAGGAGGAGGCCGAGGCAGAAGCAGCCCCCGGGAGCCCCGAGAAGGCCCCAAGCACAGCCCAGGAGCCTGAGGCAGTGGCTGCTTCAGGGGAGCCTGAGGCAGGCTCAGCAGCCACAGCTGCTGCCCCCCAAGACGGAAAGCCGGAGGAGGAGGAGGCCAGAGCAGAAGCAGTCGTTGAGGAGAAACAGGGCGAGGTAGTTGTGAGAACAGAAGAGGGGCCCAAAGATGCTTCTGAAGAGCAGGGAGCTACGGTCGGGGTGGAAGGAGAGGCAGCAGATGGGGGACGAGGAGAGGTGATGGAGGTGGAGGCAGAGGCAGCCCCAGCCCCAGCCCTAGCCCCAGCAGCATCCAAGGCTGAGAAAGAAGAGGAGGAAGCAGCCCCTGCTGAAGAGGAGCCAGCAGAGGTTTCAGGTGAGGCCCACGCGGTGGCAGCACCTGTAGAGTCCCAGGCAGAGGCGCCAAGTGAGGAGCAGCCAGCAGCCGCCCACACAGAGGGTCAAGACAGTGCACCCTCCGACCCAGGGGAGGCGGTGCCTGCAGAAGACCAGGCTGTTGAGGAGCTCACAGACACAAAAGAGGCAGAGCCTTCAGCAGAGGTGGCACCTGCCCAGGAGAGGCCCCAGGGCACCCCAGAAGACTCCAAGGCAGCTGGAGATGGGCCAGAGATGGGCCCTGGGGACCAGGTGGCTCTAGGAGCACCCCCTGAAGAGAAAGATGAGCTGATGAAGGAGGAGGAGGAGGAGGGAGAAGGTAACAGGGAGGCCAGGCCTACTGCCGTGGGGGGATGACGTGATGGACCTCACTCACTAATGTGGGGGAAGGGCAGCCTTCCATTCAGAATTTTCCGTCTGCCTTTGGAGTAGGGACAGGAGCAGGGTGGCCAGAATGGGAGCTAAAGACAGGCTCTGAGCCCACTGGCGCGGGGGATCGGGAAGCAGCAAGTCTCCTTTGGCTGGCCCAAACTAATGCTTTTACTAACTGCCATCGAGACGTCAGTTGGGCTTTCCTCGCCTGGCCAGGGGCTCGGTGCAATGTTAGCCCCATGGGAGGGGGTGGGGGAGAGCAAAGCAGGGACAGGCTGTAGCCTCCGAGTAACCAGGCTGGCAGAGAATGCTGAATGGACGTCCACTTGCATGCCTCGGGTTTTTTAAACGTTTATTGTTCATAAGGTTTATTTTAACATCTGTTTTAGAAAGTAGGGTCAACACAGTAGAATCCACAGATTGGGCGCACATAAGCAGGCTTGCCATTTAAAGGAGGGAGGGCTCTGTTCTGTGGAAGGAGTTAAAATTCTGAGCCATGCCCAGCTATGCTGTGATGCGCAGACAGATGCTGCTGCCCTGTAGCGGAGGGAGGGCTCGCTGGCCCCTCTGGAGCTTTGCTGCTGCCTCCGCCGCTGCCGCTGCTGCTCTTTCCTCTCCACCTGCTTCGCTGCTCTAGCTCACCTGCTTTAATTTGGGCCTTTGGGTAACTTGTGTTTTTAATTGTTTTGTACAATCCTTACAATTGGCAAAAGAGGAAATCGAACAGTGTACGTAGATCAAATTCATTCCTTGGAAATGGTCTCTTAGTGTGTTGTCATTTGAGGATTCTACTGTCTAATGGTTCATCTAACACCGCCATTAATCATGGGTATGTTCCCGTTGTTTTCTCCTGTGAGCAATGCCTAGATCACCCCTCTCCACCCAGCCCCTAGCCCTGGCCCTTGCCACCTTTGCTCCTCCAGGCCACTGAAGCTTCTTGGGGAGCCCTAGCAGCCATCAGTGGTCAGGAGGAGAGGAGGGAGCTGGCCACTTAATGCCTCCTGTGACCCTGTTTTAGAAAGGAAGGAAGGAAACGAGCATCTATCATTCCCCTCGTATGCGCCACCCATTGTGCAAAGTGCTTTAAAAGTATTATTTGATCCTCACAACAGTGCTGCATGGTAGATGCTATTATTATCCCCATTTTACAGTTGAGGAAACTGAGTCAGGTTCTGTGACTTGCCCCCAGGGTTACCCAGCTAGTAAGGGTCCTAGGCTAGATTTGAACTCCAGACCCTGCTCCACCAGCTGCCTGAAGGAAAGGGCCATGACAGGCTTAGATTTCTAGGGTAGCTGAGCCTCCCCCAGATTGGAAAAGGAGGTGGTGTGTCAGCATTAGGGGTCAGGGCGCCTTGGCCAGGATGTTTTTCAGAGCAGACTCCAGGTTAAGACCCTCCTAGACCACCGTAGTCTGTCTCTGCTCCCAGAGGGTGGCTGGGAGGAGGGCGCCTTCAGACTCACTCAGATCTAGACAATCCAAGAAAGCCCCCGTTACCCCAGATTGCCCTCTTCGGAGCAGATGTTCAGCCTGATCCATATTGGCTGACTTCACCCCTAAGTAATAGAAGCTACATTTGCCAGTTAAGCGAGTGAAGAGGTGGTTCTGTTGTAGCTCAGCTCGCAGGGAGTGAGAAATGCTCAGACAGCCAGTCACCCTCTGCTGTGTTTTGGGCACTGCCATGGCACTTCACCGAATCGCTGGCATGGAGCCCTGTGCTCACACGCAAACAGTCTCTGCTCTCTGACCTCCAGGAGGGAGGCTGCCCCTCCCCCCTGGAGAGCGCTCCTTTTCACCATTCATGGCCCTCAGTCTATCTGCCTTTATACTTGACCCTCAGAAATGTGCTTTTAGAAGCCCAACATAGAAAGGCAGCCGGGCAGAATGGAGCTTCAGGGCCTGCCCCTCTCAGCCTCTTGGAGTCCTGAGTTGGGAGCAATCTGGTCATCCTTAGTGGTCACCCTTCACAGACTGCTCTGCAGCCTCAGCAGAGGAGGGGAACCTGCCAGGCCAGCCCTGGTTGGGTCGTAGAAGCATGAAAACCCAGGACGTGCTGAAGGGCAGTCCTCAGATTCAGTGTGGGCAAGAAAGTCATTCCCAAGTCACCCTGATGAGTGAGCTGGCATTAATTAGATGGAATGTCTGGCCCTTGAGCATCCAGTCCAAGAGGCCGGGGGTCATCGTGGGCCTCTGCAGACACTGGCTTTACACTTTCACCTTGCCGTACCTTTCTGGTGGCTGGAGCTGACAGATCAGACTTTACTATGAGTTACCTGAGCTTCAGAACAACCCAAAGATGAATGTGTCCATCTGAGAGAACTTCTGCTTTCTTTGCAGATGGGGGTGCAGCCAGCTTTTTCCTCCCTCGTGCTCCTGGTCAGGTGCTGATCCCATAGCTCCTCAGACCTAGACCCCAGATAGCCTGTGCATCTCCTGGGTTAAACCTCCTGGGTTTGTGTCCAGTCTCTGCCCCACTGCTCACCTTTACCATGATTAACTTGAAGCTCTGATTTAGCTGACGCATTTACCAAAGTGTTTGAAGTGCCCGTGGCCTTTAGATTGGAGGTCGTGGTTAAGTTGGCTGGGTGGAATCCCAGGGCCTGGTATGTAGACAGCTTCTCATTCCAGAGGGATTTTTGCTTGTAGAAACTGAAGGCTCTGAAGAGGAGGATAAGGAGAATGAGAGAGAAATTGAAGAGCGCAGGAGCGATTCCAAGCTAGAAAACAAGGTGGGTTCTCTGTGCACATGTGTGTGCGCACGTGCACAATATGCATGGGGCCTGACCCTTCATGCCAGGCCCCCCTGCACTTGAGCACGGCTTCCTTGACTTCCTCTTTGTCTCTTTAGGAGAACGAAGAGGAGGAAATTGGAAACCTGGAGCTTGCCTGGGACATGCTGGACTTGGCAAAGATCATCTTTAAGAGGTGAGGAGCAGACCCGCCCCCCTTGGGCTCCTTCCTGTCTGAAGAGAAAGCTAATGATGCTGCTTCTCCCGTTTTAGGCAGGAAACGAAGGAAGCCCAGCTGAACGCAGCTCAAGCTCACCTGAAACTGGGGGAAGTGAGCGTGGAATCAGGTAACTGAGCAGCTGCTTGGGGGCAGCCCTTGGGAATGTGTCCCCCTCCTCCCCCAGCCCTGAGCAGCCAGGGCACTCGCCCTTGAACCCTCAGATAGAGGCGGCCAGGGGAAGTCACCTTGTGTGTCCGTGTTGGGGCTGGCTCGGTGCCGGGCCTGGCCAGCTGGGTGTGTGGTGGCCCTGAATCATGGTGTGGCCAGGCAGTTACAATGGCTATCCCATCAGTTTATATGTGGTCACCTTATACCTTCCCCATTTGTTCTCCCCTGTTGTATAGAAAATTACAGCCAGGCCATAGAGGAGTTCCAGGCCTGCCTTGCCCTCCAGCAGAATTACCTGGAGGCCCATGACCGGCTGCTGGCCGAGACCCATTACCAGCTGGGCCTGGCCTATTCTTACAACAGCCAGTACGGCGAGGCTGTGTCTCAGTTCACCAAGTCTGTGGACGTCATCGAGAAGAGGCTGGGTGAGTGTCCCCCCTGCCAGCAGACCCCTCTGCACTGTGGACGTGGGGATGGCATCAATGCACTGAAGGGTGCGCATGCGCCTGTATCTTTGCAGCCATGCTGAGTGAAAGGATAAAGGCGGCTGAGACGCCGTCTGCTGAGGACGAGAAAGAGGTTGAGGAGCTGAAGGAGCTGCTCCCTGAGATTAAAGAGAAGATTGAAGATGCCAAGGAGTCCCAGAGCAGCGGGAACGTCGCTGAGCTGGCTCTGAAGGCCACCCTGGTAGGTTCACAGCAAGCAGAGCCCGAGCCTCTCCTTGGTCCGCTTTACCCCCAGGCCCAATCTCCCGTGGAGCTCATGGCATGTGTGCCCCCTCCCTACCTGACCTGCATTCAGGACCCAGGCCTGCGTGTGTTCCCCTGGGCCCGGGGCCTGCAGAGCAGCATGGCCACTGTGACCAAGAGGGTCCTAAGATAAGAGCAGGAGGTTCCTGTGAAGCTGGACTTGTGCGTCTGAAGCCTAGGCCGGGCCCTTGGGAAGGGGATGTTGGCAATGAGTGGGTGAGAGCAGGGCCCTCATTTTTTTCAGGTTCAGGCTGCATCTGGTTTCACATCAAGCAGTGGGAACTCCTCAGCCTCAGGGGTAAGTCTCCAGGGGCTTGGCTGGGTGGTAGCGGTGGGCTAACCCAGGCCTCACTGTGCCTAACTCAGTCCTTGGCTTGTGACAGATTGCGTCCAGAAGACCCACAGATGGTGCTACTACGTCGTCTTCCAACTGTGTAACTGATATTTCCCACTTAGTCAGAAAAAAGGTCAGTTCCTCCAAGCTTGACGGTATGAGTGGGCCCCCGGGCGGTTCTGTTCTGTGACAGGAGTTTCCTGGTTCCCTGTAGAAGACAGTGTTCTCATGCTTCAGTGAGAGCTGTGAGCAGTCCTGTTCTTAGCAGGTATCCTGGGAGGGGGCGTGTCTTTGTAAGGAGGCCCAGTGGTTCAGATACTTGTAACCCTTAAAAAGTGGAGCCTTGCTTGGTGTCTGTCTGTCTGGTCTCCACTGAGGTCTCCCAAGGGCATCAGAGTAGAAGGGATACTTGTGTTTTCTTAAGCCAGTTTGGAGCTGTGCACACTGAGGCTTTCACACTTTTGTCTTCAGAGGAAACCCGAACCCGAAGAAGAGAGTCCTCGCAAAGATGCCGAGGCCAAGAAGCCAAAGCAAGAGCCAGCTGTCAATGGTGGGGGCGGGGATGGCGATGGGGGCGGGGATGCTGCTGCAGCTCAGAATGAGGCCACAGAAAATATGGAGGCAGAGGTGCGTAGGCCAGCAGCAGAGGCAGAGTCTGCTGAGACAGGCGGGGGAGGGGGCACCTCTCATTCCCTCCCCACCCCCTCACTGTCCTAGAAGCAAACAGATGGGACAGGGTTTGTGGGGGTGCCTGGGCCTGCGCTCTGTCTTCCTGTCCTGAGAGTTCAGAGGGGCTGGGAAGGGATGGTCGCTCACACGTTCCCATCCTTGTCTCATAGGCTGAGAACCAGACGCCAGCTGAGCCTGGAGCTGCCACCGTACAAAGCACCGCGTGAACCTCCCAGAGGGGAGGCGGGAGGACCCTTATTCTCTCGAAGGACGATGCTTTTGTATATAATGTATTTTTTCACTTTTGGGGACTCTTTTTGTATAACTTCAATAAAGATTGTACGCAAAGGTTGAAGCGTGGATGGTTTTTCTTACTAGTGACGTACATGCCTTCAGGCACCACCCAGTTTTTTTCTTGTGGCCAGCCTGAGGCAGCGCTTGCATCCTGATGTCTGTGTAGGACCCAAGTTCCTGATGGATTTTGGCTTAGCTTATACTGAGGAGGACAGAGATGAGGAGCCCCTGCCTCCTACCCATTCTCGGGCTCCCATTTAGGGGGCTCAGCTTTGTTTGGGATGCTGGAAAGACTCGAGAGCATTTTGGGGTCCCGGACGGGGCTTCTGTGAACCAGCTCAGGTTTTCTGACTTGGGCCACAGCATCCACCTGCAATGTCCACCTGGCGTCCCCTCGAGTCCTGCTTGGCCTCTTGGAGGAAATACGTAAAAGCAGGGGGATCGCCGCCTGGGACTTTGGAAGAACTGGACATAGCGCAGCGGAGATCCAGGCTGTTCCCTTTCAGCACCATCTTGGCTCAGCAGATGTCCAGTCAGGTGGGAGGGATTGTTAGCTTTGTGACCTTGGGTAAGTCACTTTACCCTCTTCACTGTAAATGAGCTGGAGAAGGAAGTGGCAAACCAGTATCTTTGCTGAGAAACCCCTAATTGGGGTCGTGAAGAGTCGGACACAACTGAACGATAACCACAAAGTGCGTTAGGGTGTGTGTCTTCCATGGTCCTCGTGCTTGGTAAGATGAGGCAAGAATGTGAGTGCACATGTTGGTGAGTTAGTCAAGGAGCAGGTGCTAATTCTGCCAGGCCCAGGGGTTTACAGAGATGAGTGTGAAATGTTTCCTGTTTCGAAGAGTAATGCAACAGAAAAATGAATGGGGGGTTGCATATTGCACAATGGACAGGGTGATGAGAAAGTGGCCACGTCTGGAAGGTAGGCGCGAGATTGCTGACGGACCAGCCGCCAGGTGGTGTAGGAAGGGGTGGGCTGGGATCTCCCTGCGCGGCATGCCCCTTCCCTGACCCTAGGCTGGGCACGTGGACATGGGATGGTACATGTAAGAGGTGTTGAGGTTCAGGCCCAAGTCCAGGAATGTTGCTTCCTGCCCACAATGAGCAGGTGCCCTGAGGATGATGGTGAGTGGGTCTGCCTGCCTTCTTGGGGGACTTGGCTGCCATGGGCCAGGGTAGTTGGGGGTGTGGGCAGGCTTGTTCAGGGTACAAGGGCTTATGGGCTGGGAGTCGGAGACAGCCAGTGCCAAGGTGTGGTTGTGGAAAGAACCAGAAAGCCATTGCTCCAGAACACAGATTTCATGAAGGGAAGGTATGACAGCTCCGCGAGGGTATGAAGTCCAAAGGTTTGGATGACTTACCTCTCAGTGGTTTAGCCTGGAAGAAATGCCCCTGGGGGTTGGGATGGGTGGGAGTGGCACTGCAGATGCTGCCCCATTTGGAGAAAAGTCGGCCCAGTGCCTGACCGTAAGAGCTTCGAAGGTGCCTAAAGGCTTGGCTGTGACCCGGTAACTGGTGGTGCAGAAAGGCCACTGAGGGGCCCCCATACACCCCGGACTGTCCTAAGACACCAACATCAAAGCCCAAGTGTCTCTTCGGGGAGCCAAGCCCCCCGCCACGGGACCAGGGCATCCCTCGGAGTGGGGGCACTGAGTCAGGCGTGTGGTAGGAGCAGAGATGGCCAAATGGGATGGAGTGCAGGAGGGTGGGTGGGGCGAGAGCCCCTAAAATTGGCAGATTCAGGCCAGATGTCCGGTGGCAGTGTCTTCAGAACTGGGCCTAGAGCCTGGAAGCCGAATTCAAATCCAGCTTCAGACATGTACTAGCTGTGTAACCTGAGTAAGTCAGCTTCTCTCAGCCTCAGTTTCCCCATCTGTAAAATGGGGACAGTAACACCTACTTTCCAGCGCTGTTGGGAGGTTCAAATGAAATAAAACACGAGAAGCGCTTTGTCAACCTAACGAGCTTTTTGTAAATGCTAGCTAGCTATTTTGGCTGGAGGAAGCCCCTATGCCTGGATGCAGTGGAAGATCGCTGGTTGGGGGGGGGCAGCAGCAGGGGCTGGATTCAGATGCTGGGGGTGCCTTACCAACTCAGATTCAGCCCCGCCTCCAGGCTGTGCCCACACATACACATGCGCAGAGTAGGTGCTTTTGTAAAGTGCATTTAGTGAGAGTGAATTTGAACTACAATGGGTCCCCATTTTACAGATCAGGAAACAGATCCAGAGACAAGCATATAAATGACCTGCCCCAACCTCACTAAGCCTGGGGGGTAGGGGGTAGAAGACAAAAAGGCTTCCTTAGTGATTGAATTAGGTTGGGGAAGCCTTAGGTGGGGAGGGAGCCAGGGGCCTGAGCCAGGAGGTGCTTGGGCCCCTGGGAGCCTTGACCACGCCTTCCCTCTGTCTTAGGTCACCAGGACACATTGTTCCTTGTTATGAGGGCTTTCTAGCTCATACATAGGACAGCCCTGTTTTTATCCATGAGAATCAACTTGAGTGTTTCAAGGTCTGCAAAGCACTTTACTTAGTGTCTCAGCTAAGCTTCTGCAAAGGCAGCCCTGCAGGGGAGGAGCTACAGGAATTAGCCCCATTTTGGAGAGGATGAAGTAGAAACTGAGGAGGGCTCCCAGGTCCCAGCAGCTGGTGGACTAGATGGGACAGATGTTTGTAACCTGCATGTGGCAGACCCACCTGGCCTGCTCCAGACTCCCGGTGTGACCACTGACTGCCAGGAGGACTCTGATATGAGGGAGCCAGGAGAAATTTGGGGTCATTAAAAATAGATGCAACTTCCCAAAGACATCTAGTCACTCCTCTCCTGCTCCTGGTCAATTCTGGACTCGCCCATTTGCAGTGTCTGTCTGAGATGTAAATTGATGTCCATCCCACCTGTATGCCATAGTCTAAAGACAATGAGCATTCTTCATCCACTTGGTTTTTCCCATGTGAATGGTCAGGCCAGTCTTTTGTGTCCCTTTGTGTGGGACATGGACGAGAGTCACACAGGACTCTGGCATGGGTGGGATGTATCTGCATCTCTGAAGATGCCATCTCTTTGGATAGAGACCACAGACAGACTGAAGGATTTAGGGTCAAGTGCCTACTCAGTGAGGAACGGGCCTTCCTTGTAAAGGGCACTTGCTGGTGGTATGACCTGGGCTTTTGTTCCAGAATTCCCAGATGCCAGGGCTGAGTGCCCATGTGCTGAATCAGTTCTAAGCATGTTTCCACTGACTGCCTTGGACTTCCTCAAAGGATTTCTCTCAGCTGGTTATTCTGGGTGTGTGGGTGCCTGGCTCCCATTCTCCCAACCCCACTTTGAGCTTTAGACCTTGGAGCCCGAAGATTCCGCAGGCTGAGAAACCCACAGCACATGGCCCTGAGCTGCCCCCTTCACTGGGGATGGGTTTGAGACTGCCCTGGGCAGGGCTCTCTGCCCACCCGAACTCACTGGCTGGCCACACACACACACACACACACACACACACTCAGCAATGCAAAGGACCCTTCCTGGAGCCTGGTGAGGCGTGGAGGGTACATCCCCTCCTCTATGGGGTCAGGGAACTACAGAATTATAGGTTCGCAGAGCTGGGGGAATGAGGCCACCTGTTGATTTTAAAGATGAGAAGCCAAGGTCTGTAGAGGAGTTGGGAGGGGCCTCCAGCTGCTGTATCTGGGGTCTTTGTGCAGGCTACTCTGAAGCAGGAGGAGGGTCACTGAAGCCATCGGACAGGGAGAGGGAGGGGAGCAGGCTGGGGGGTCCCAGGAAGTGGGAGTACAGGTTGCTGTCTTTCAGAGAGGGTGAGTTGGATACCTGTGGGAGTGCAGACAGGGTCAGGGTCTAGCCCTTGAAACTCTGGCTGCCTGACCTAGCCTGTCTCATGGGGAACCCCATCTCAACCCCTCAACCCCTGTGTGCCAGTCAGCCTTGGACCATGGCAATCCCGATTCCTGGCCCCCCACTCAGCCAGGCCCTCATCCCCAGGTAGGCAGGCCCATGTCTGTTCCCCAGGGCTCAGAGCTCACGGTGGGCAGGTAGCGGTATTCCCGGCTTTGGGCTGGGTCTATCTTGGCCAACGCCTGGATCTCAGCATCTCTTGCATTGACTATTCTCAGGTACAGCTCAATGTGGCCAGCCTGGGACCCAGGAAAGAGGGCCATGCTGAGCTGGGAGCCTCAGGGCCCAAGCTTCCCTGCACCTCCTACCACCAGGGGCCTCAACACACCTGAGGGATGGCATTCAGCTGCCTGGGGTGAAGGCGTGGTGCCCGGGGCAGGGCTCTCAGAGGCAGCCTCCAGCGTCCACTCAGCACCCTCTGCTCCAGGTCAAATAGCTGTACGTTGGTCCAAGCCTGGGGCCTTGGCTCCTGGCCTCTGTCCCAAAGGCCCCAGGCCTGAAGCTCTGTGACCAGGGTCACAGCCAGGGAGGGATGCAACCTGTTGGGGTGGGGGCAGAAAGAAGGACTCATCATGGTCAGTCCCAAGAACGAGGACTGGGAGCCATCCCATCTTAGGACAGATGATGCTAGAATGGGCCATGGAACCTTCGGACACTCACTGGAGTGCTCTAGAACATCAGGGTTTGTGGGAACTGGAGATTTCAGAGGACAACACTGAGGGTCAGAGAGGGCCACTGAGTTGCCCAGGGTCACTCAAGTAGGCTTGGAGGAGCTGTCACTGACCTGGGCACAGGCTGTCTGGCTGCCAGGATGGCACAGTTGCCCAGGGGAGCCCCTGGGGTGGGGGGCAGCGGCAGACAGGGACTGGGGGGTAGGGCAGTGCTGGGGCCGGTCTCCTGCCCACCCCGTGCCAGCCCTGTCACCAGCTGCACCTGTGACCACTCAGGCTCCAGTCCCAGCAGGAAGTCGTAGAATATGGCAAACCCAGCCCTGGGCAGGAGGAGGACAGAAGAGGATATCAGAGCAGGGGCCCTCCCCTCCCTGTGCCCACTCCCCTCCCGCCGAGGCCGGGCCTCACCCTGGGTCATAAGGAGCTGGGCCCAGCACATCGGGCGGGGGCAGGAGGTGGCGGCTGTGGGCTGGGGCTCCTGTAGTTTCCTGCAGCAGCAGAGACAAGTGCACCCTCTCCAGTAAGCCTTCCAGGCTGGCCTCAGCCTGGGAAGGGACAGAAGGGAGCCCTGCTCTGCAGTGGGGGGATACGAAGTGCAGGATCTGGGAGTGTCCCCCTCAGGCCAGCTTGCCCCAAATCCTCATTTTACATTTGAGGAAACTGAGGCAAAGTGGGGCAGGAACCTGCTAGGAATCCGGCTCCCAGCCTAGGGTCTCATTCTTTCTGGGGTGCTCGTCCCTCCCACCACGGAGTCCTCACCATCATGCCTAGGAAAGGGCTGTCTCTGGGGGGTCCTGGGGGAGGGGGTGGCAACGGGGGAGCCACAGGGGGTGGCAGGCGGGCAGAGCCTCCTCTTCCTCTCCGGAGCAGGCCAATCCCCTCCTTGGGCTGGGGCTCCCACGGGCCTGAGAGCAGAAATGAGGGGTCTGAAGGCCCTGCATCAGCTCCCGGCATCTTGTCTGCTGGAGCCACACAAAGGCCCCAGTGACCCTATTGTACAACTTTTTACACATGGCTCAGAGCTCAGAGAGGGAGAGCCAGCGAGGTGTCTGCGGTCGCACACACCCGGCCCCGGGCCCAGAGAGTGAGGGCCGGGGGCGGTGCCAGGGAAGCTGGCCTGGCAAGATGCAGCACCCTCCCTCCGGCTGAGGCTCTTGGATTGGCCCCCTGTCGTCTCCCCTGGGAGAGTCTAACCTCCAGGAGGGCAGGGGCCCGCTCATTCTTCTGCTTCCTGTTCCTGTGCCTGGCACATGATAGGCACTTTATTAATGAGTGTTGATTGAACACACAGGGCATAAAATCATAGATTTAGAGCAGAAAGGGGAGCGAGGTCACCGACTCCACCTCCATTTTACAGAAGACAAAGACGAGAAGGAGGAAGAATAGAGGAGCCCCGGGCCTGGGCCTGGCCAGAAGAGGCCACACTCACACAAGGAGCCACCAGCTGACCAGTGTGTGTGTGGGGGGGTGTGCTCCAAGCAGGCCCAGCTGGGTGCCCATCCCCCAGGCCCTGCCTCTCCAGTCCCCAGGAATCCCAGGCCACAGGTCCCCTCCCTGAGTCTCCAGGCCCTGGGGAAGGTTCTCCTCCCCCTCCAGGAATCCAGACACAGATCCGGGGTCTTGGAGGGCATCTACTGCAAACCCCCCATTGTACAGACGAGGAAACCAAGGCCCAGAGTTGTCTTCCCTGATCCCCACCCACCACTGATGACGATGGGTCCTTCCCTGATGTCCTTGGGCACCCTGGCTGGGCTCCCCTCTTTCTGCCCCCCCTACCCCCACCCCTACACCCAGAGACTGTCAGTTCCTAGAGGGCCTGGACTTTCCGTCCTCTGGGCTGAGCACAAGGTGGGGATTCCTTTCATTGAGATAACTTGCCAAAGTCACATGGGAACAAGCAACAGAGACAGAATCTGAACCCAGGTCCCGGCCCTCCTCTTCTAGGTCTCTCTCAGAAGTCTTCAACAGTCTGTCTTGGCCTTAGCCTTGGGGAGCTCAAGATCTGCTTGGGGAGACCACACTCTGAGCCACTGAGGGTTTGGGACGGTGGCCCCTAGCTCAGAGCCCCCTGGGCCACATGGCACTTGGCTGGACCCTGCCACCATCTTCAGCCAAAAAGGAGGGGGGAAAGTGCTCCTGTCCAGGCTCTGACTTAGGGGTGGCTCTCGTAAGGAGGAGACCAAGCCCAGGGAGGCTGTGGGAAGGAAGGTGGGGGAGAGCAAGTATGCCAGCATTTATACTTCTTCTAACACTGGCTAGCTGGGTAACTCTAGACAAGTCCCTGAACCTCTCTGAGCCTCAATTTCACCCCCATTTTAATGGGGGTGAAAATACTGGACTAAATGGTAGGGATAGGGATTGAACCTATGACTTTATTGCTACAGGGGACTCCCAGGAGAGGAAACTCCTTCCACCAACACAGGTCAGCAACTTCTCTGCAACTCTGAGTCTTACAGAGCTGTCTAGAGCACTGTGAGAAAGGAGGGAAGGAAGAAGGGAAGGGAGGAAGGAAGGAAAGGAGGGAAGAAAGGAAGGAGGGAAGGAAGGCGGGAAGGAGGGAAGGGAGGGAGGGAGGAGGGAAGGGAGGGAGGAGAAGAGGGAGGAAGGAAACAAACATTTATCAAGTACCTACTATGTGCCCAGCACTGGGCTAGGTGCTTTTATAAATATCTCATTTGATCCTCACAACAAACCTGGGTGGTAAGTACTATCATCCTCATTTTACAGCTGAGGACACTGAGGCAGACAGATATTAAGTGACTTGCCTAGAGTCACACAGCTCTGTGTCTGAGGATGGATTTGAATTCAGGAAATAACAATAATAATAATAGCTAATATTTATTAAGCACCTACTATGTGCCAGGCACTTTATAAATATGATCTCATTTGATCCCCACAACAACCTTGGGAGGTAGGTGCTATTATTATTTTCATTTTACAGATAAGGAAACTGAGGCAAAAAGATTAAGGGTCACAGAGCTAGTGTCTGCAGCTGAATTTGAACTCAGGTCTTCCTGATCTGTAGACGCTGTGCCACCAGCTGAAGGGTCTCGCCCAGGGTCACACACACAGGAGGGGTCAAAGGCAGAATTTGAACCTTGGTTCACGTTCCTGACTCTGCTGCCTCACTGAGACAGCAGGGCTTCGTGGACAGAGCTCTGGGCCTGGATTTGGGAAGACCTGGGCCCAATTCCCAGCTCCATCACTTCCTGGCTGTATCAATCCCTCAGTCCACAAGCATTTATAAGCACCTCCTATGTGCCAGTCACTGTGCTAAGCACTGGACTTCCAAAGAAAGGCACAGCAATGGTCCCTGGCCTCCGGGAGCTCACAGCCTCTGTAAGTGACTCCATTTACAAGCTGTATGCAGTGTAACTGGAAGGGGGACGTGAAAGGCCAACCAGTGCTGGAAAGGGAGTCCCTGGGCAAGTCTCTGAACCTCAGTTTGCTTGTCAGTAAAATGGGTACAGCACTTGATTACAGGACACCTCCTGTGACGGGGAGCTCGCTCTCCATCAGGGTTGGAAGGGCCTCAAAGCCCCACCCCCGCCCCCTTCTCCCTTCCTGGGCTTTCCATGAGTCCCTTGGTAGGGATGCCTGACCAGAAGAGGGCAAACCTACCCCAGGGACGTCAGGGGTATGGGTGCCAGAGCACTCACCCTGCCGGGATCTCCGGGGTCCTCTCTGCATCTGCAGGGCCAGGATTTCAGTCTCCAAGTGGCCGTTAACAGCTTCTAGGGCCTGCAACTGTGTGTCCAGCGTCTGGGGCCCAGCAGCAGCCTTCCCTTCTGTGGACCAAAGAACTCTGACCCCTTCTGGCTTCCCCAAACCTGTTTCACTGGGGACAAGTTTTTGTAGGCCTCCCTGCCTGCTTGGGCTAGAGTTCCAGGTGTGCACCTCCCCAGCTCCAGAGTCTTCCATGACTCCCGAGGACCCATAAGGTGAAAGAAACAGAATCCCCACACCTCAGAGGAATTCTGACAAGCGGTCATTCGGACCCCTGGTCCTTGGCCAAAGGGCCCCGGTGAGGGGAACCTCACTATATTCCAAAGCAGGCTTCTCCACTCTGTCATGACCAGCTTCCCCTCTCATACACTAGGATATTCCTCCTGGGGATACCCTTCCCAGCTCCCATTGGGGCCGGGACCCTAGGCAGCCTCAGCACAGCGTCCTGGGGCTCACTCACGCCTCTTCTGAGTCCTCCCTTCCAGCAGCGCAGCCTCGAGGTGCAGCTCCCATATCTTGGCCAGGACTCCGGGGTCTCTGCCCCCGGCTTGGAGGTAGGACATCTGGAGGGCCCTGGGCAAGAGGGGGAGAGGAGGAGGCTGCTGAAGGTCTCTCAGTCCTTGCCCAGGCCTCCCACTGAGGGAAGATGACAGAGATCACTGTGGGAAGAGCAAAGGTTTGATTTGGGATCAAAGGACCTGTGTTCAAATCTTGACACAGATAGCACTGGGGAAAGAACGCTAGCTGTGGAGTCAGTGGACCTGGGTTCAAATCCTATTTCTAACCATCTGGATGACCTAGGGCAAATCCATTCTTTTCCCTGGGCCTCAGTTTCCTCATCTGTCCAATGGGGGTGGTTTGGACTAG